GAGAGAGAGAGAGAGAGAGAGAGAGAGAGAGAGAGAGAGAGAGAGAGAGAGAGAGAGAGCGGAACGGGGATATGGTGGAACAATGTCTTTCTTCCCACCTTCTGTGAAATTTTGACTCCAACGCCAACTTGGTTGCGGCAGTTTCGGATTTTTTTGTCAATCATCTTGGATTTTCTGTTTTGTATGTATGTATGCATGCTGATGAACGAACTCGTGTCTCCTTTCTCGAGTTGTTTCTGTCACTTTCTGATTTCCAATGTGTTAGCCATTTGGGCTGCGTGCACAGTCATCCGCGAGGTTTCGGTTCCCCCCAGATCGGGTCGGATACGCCCGGTGCGCATGCCTTGCCTGAACACTTGCTCGTAGTTCATGCATGATTGCAGGAATGATCTGATGTAATGGTCCTTAATGCTGGACAATCGCTTCTTTGCTGAATGATGGTATGGACACGTATGTAACAATGTGATCTCACTTGGAATGATGATGGTTGCATGAGAAGGATAACTGCATGCATACGGAATAGACCGACGCACGGACAGAAGCGACTACCACCGACTTATCCGCGTGACAAGATAGGAGCCGAGCAGTCTGCTTGCGCAAGCGCCCGTGTATGACAGCAAGTCCGGCAGTGGAGTCTGCAACATACACGCGCGTCTACATAAGCCCAGCTGCGATATCGCTTCGTCAGGAAATGAATGTAATTACCGTCCATTGAGTAGCATATGCCGGTGGAAACTCCCTTCTGGGTCACCAACCGCGAGAGCCTAAGGAACTCAAGAGTATCGGACGTATTGACGATGAAACTCACGGAATCCTGACTACCCCTGTCAGACTGAGAACAATCGACTGTGTGGGGGCGATTTCCAGTGGGCCATAAACCAGGATTCTAGGATTCTGGACTATCCCAACACCCGCAATAGATAGTACTACCTAACCCCAGGCTTCGTCGCAATTATTACCCGTTTGCCTCCCTATTATATCCTTCTCCCGTATCATCACCTAACGGTTGTTCTCTGGGACTCCATACCTCGTTATTGGCCCCGCACACCATGCTCGGGGTGCCAGCAATACAACGAGTATCGCGAAGCAGGGTTCATCCGACGAACCCGCTCCGAAGCAGAGCTTCAGAAACACAGTCTCCGACTACGACCATCGTCATCAGACTCTGAGACGTGCATTGGCCGACGGCGGTACATGCGCTCTCAGAGAGCTAATCATAGCATCCCGACTGTACATCAGATACGTCCCCGGCCCAGGTCGCAAGATCGGCGATCGCCCCGATGCTTACCTAAAACGAGACTCTTTCACTCCTACCCCCGAAACTTGACGCCGGAGATTCCAGTTTCGGCCTGGGACTCCATTCCCACTTTCCTAAAATCCTTGGCACACCCCTATTCGCACTTCCAGGCCCACTAACACTCCCAAACAGGAAGTCGCGCTGGCCGTGAGGTTGGGTGTCACAAGGGAAGCACCTCCCCTTCTCAGAGTCAGAGGAAGAGTAAAGGTAGGTGGCACGTGATGGAGTCTGAGGAAGACTCTGCAGGCTTTGACCAGAGAGGATTGACTCCATCAGCTGGTCAAGGTGCAGGAGGCTTCCTGGACCAGGCTTTTCTCACTTTGGCTCAGGAACTGTTGAGCGTCATCAAGGGCAACAATCCGATTCAGAGACAAAGGTCCCTGGGGTTTGGCAAACACCTCAGTAGGCCGCAAAAACAAAACCTGCCTAAGTTTGCCAACTGTCCAGCTAACCCTATGGATCCCTACACTATCCCATGGAGGGATTTGCACATCTCAGACGGGCTGTGGCAAAAGAGGAAGGATGCTGGTGTCTGCCTCAGATGTGCAAGGCAGCACTTTGTCGAGTACTGCCCGTCTTGGGGCCACCACCAGTCTGGAACCTGAAGCAGTCAGCAGTAGACACTGTTGACTTAGTCCCCTGTCGATGTAAGCAGGGTCAGATTCCAATACGTTTTGGTTGTTGATTGTGCTTGTGTGATCAGCCACATTGGGCCTGATCCCTTAGCTGATCACCTTGACTTGCCTGTACACCACGTGTGCTTGAGGAAGAATTCGCTAAGTTCCGGGCTTGTTCAAGTTTCTCAAACACTGCTGATGGACAGACTGTTAATTGGACTGAATTCATTTTCTCTTCACGATGAATCAGCCCCAAGATTGCTTTCAGTCTGACAAGAATTCCAATCGTGTGAGTTTACATTGAATCCTTGTCTGACTACCCCCTTGTATTTCCTGTGAGTGCCATTCTCTGTCTGATCACATTCATGTTCTCACACTGAACTGCACTCATTGGATAACCTGTGTTTGAGAGAGAGTATGACTAGTACAAATCTCACCTTGAATTCTCCTGCACGATCCTAAGTGCTTCTCTTTCGGGTAGAAATCAGATTTTCCATGTTTCTCTGTGGTCGCACACTTGTAGTGACAGTGTTCTGAATTTTACATATAGACCTGCAAATTCCTTTTAACCACTGGGATTTGTCCTGGTAATGTCTCAGCCTGATTGGCCAGAGTCAAATATGTTTGTGACTGAAACTCTCTACTCAGATAGACCTACCCTACACATGACTCTATGAGTTCAAGCGTTATTGCTGAATATGGTCAGGCTTAGCCCCATATACAGATCTTGTCAGATCCTGCCCTATTCTTGGGGAAAATCTGTGTATCACGCTTGCAAAACACAGATCAGCAGTTGAGGAGTCTAACTGATACCCAGTCCTGACAGAAATTAATCAGATTTTCAGAATTAATGGATTAATAGGATTATAGCAAAGTTGATTACTAGGCTAACACCCTTGCATTCAACTAGGTGGTCCATGCTGTTAATCTAAACCTTGAGGATGCTGTTAGCTATGTATAAGCTGATTACCAGGCGAATACGCTTGCATTCAGCTAGCCAACGCTCGCTGATAGTCTGACCTACAACCCGTAGATTTGGAAGGAAAGGAATCTACGTATCTTCGAGGGGTAGGAAAGGAATTTACGTA